TAGATGGGAGAGAATCAAGGTTCCCAGGGTAGAGGCCGATTACCAAAGAAGATCTGCCATTCCCATTCGTCCTTCCTACTGGAGGGAAGTGGAGGCTAAAGTTAAGAGAGGAGAGGGAGAAAGTAGAGGAGGAAAAACGGAAGAGGAATGCATAGAGAGTTCTAGAGACGAAGATAGAGGAGAAGAGATGGAATGGTCAGTATTGGATACACCACTGGGATGATGTTATACGAGGAGGGACCATTCCCTCAATACCGGACCCAGTGACCACTACGTTAAGACAGTGCCCCTTATGGGCATACCGGGACCTTGGAATACCAGTTATACTAATCCTTTTGTTACTGAAGATTGGAAGCCCCTGATTGCCCCATTGGCAGATGGAGAAAGAGACACAAATTTAGTTAAAGACACTAGTTTGTTTATGGATAATACAATAAAAGTTCCCATGTTGCACTAGCAACCGGCGCCTTCTGTATTTCTTGCGCCTGAACCAGGATTGCACCCGACTCACACCGAACCCTCACAGCTCCTCACATATGGGATATATGTGTCCCATATGTGCATTGGTTCTTCTATGTTGTAGCTCAGTGGTTTCAATATCTGGTTTAAGATTTTTTTTAAAGAAGTGCTGGATAGTTCAGTGGTTTAGGTATTTGGTAGCAGAGTCAGAAGTTGGGTGTTCAGATCCCTACTGTGCCTCCTTGACAAGGGCTGAGATTGATTAATGCTAGGGCTCTGCATGATGATTATAATTTATAATATATAGTAATGGGTGTACTTAGCCAATTTTCTTTCCATGTACAGTATTCAACAAAACAAATGCTCACATTCATCAGAGCATTACAGAATCAAACAATTACTGGCGGAGTTGAGAATGAGATTGCCTTTTAGACCAGGATTATGTATACTTGCTCAGTGGACATCTGCACCTTTCAGAACTCAAAGCCAACTGATTATAAATTATAATATAAAGTAAGGGGTGTACTTAGCCAGTTTTCTTTCCATGTATTCAACAAAACAAATGTTCACATTCATCAGAGCATTACAGAATCAATTAATGGCAGAGTTGAGAATGAGATTGACATTTGTAATTCCTAGTATTTCTCATCCTAACACCTTTTAGACCAAGATTATGTATACACCACAACTTGATCAGTGGACATCTGCACAGCCGATGTATACTCTGCACCTTTCAGAACTCAAAGCCAACTGTGAAGACCCACAACAGCCTTGAGATGCCCCACCTATCCATTCTCTTGTATTGGTTCCATACTGAGAGGCAGAGTGTGGTTAATAAAAAAAGGTTTATTGAACTGGGACAGGGGGGAATAATGACTAGAAGCAACTTTAGCAACATACACACAAGGCCCAGAGCAGGGGTGGCTGATAGTGATCATGAGGCCCTGAACAAAAGGGTGATTTTGCCATCACCATCCACTTTCTTTCCTAGTTGGAAGGTATATGGTCTCTTTGGTGCTGACTCCAGTCCCAAAAGAGAAGAGAGACACCATCCTTCCTGTCCTTTTGTTCGGCTCTCTTTTCCATACTCTTTCTCCCCTGAAGGAAGATTCCCAAGGGGACTTAGCCCACCTGATTCTCTTGCCTTCCTTGGGTGGCACACGTAATTGTAGCAGCTCCCTGGTTCATGGGTCCTCCCTCTCTACCTCTTCGCAAGACTCATTGTTTGTCACTGTCACAGCTCCCCCTGACTCTGCTTGACAGGCCTCCCAGTCTCGTTCCTCCTTTGCATCCTTCTATGTGTCCTCCTCACCACCTGCTCCCCCTCCCTTTTTTATCCTCTCCACTCCTCCAGGGGTCGCTCCTCCCCTTCCCTAATATTTTCTGCATCCTCATTATTCCTTTTCTCTACTACTGACTCTGAACTAGCCCTTCCTATAACTATGGGGGAGTTGGCCATAGCAAAGTCCTTCCTGGGGGTCAAGAGGTGCTGTGACCCTCCTGCAAGGACAGGGGTGTCCTTGTCGCTGTCCTCACACCAGTATGTCATCTAAACTTACATTAAAGCATGCAAACGAGATAAAGGAAACTGGACTGCTCTCCTTTGTTCTGTGATTTCCATGGATGTTAGAGAAATATTTCCTTTTGTTAAAATTAGGATTTTGAAGTCACCTCAAGAACATCATGTTGATCCATGTCAACCTCAGCAGGATGTCCGTAAAGTGAGAGTTGGCATGCTATCTACGTACCTTTGAATAGCAATTGCTGGGAAGCAGTAAAGGGGAAAGGTGGTTGCACTCATATCCTACTTGTGGGCTTTCTATAGGGATCTGGCTGGTTGCTACAGGAAATAGAATGTAAGAATAATAGGTAGGCTTTTGGTCTGACCCAGCATGGCTCATGTTCTTAATTGTCCCAGGTTAAGAAAAATTGTGGTTTTATTGAACTGTACAGCAACCGCATATATGCACAGATAAGTAAACAGTTCTTATGGAACTCTTAGCAGGTCAAGAATCACTAGATAGTTTTAGATGTGTTATCTGAAAGACCACCATCTCCTATGTGATTCTTCCCATCAACTAGGTCTGTCTGTGTTCCACCTTCCATTGAGGCACAGTTGGCAAGAATCAGGATGATGAGTCTTTCTATGTAGTTGAACCCAGAATGTGGTCTTGCTGCCTTGAGGTATTTATGTCATTTGCCACTATTGCCTCCTGTAATAGCTTTCTGGTGTATTTGAAGCCATTTTTTGTTTAATTATCTTCATTCCTCTGCAGGATTTTAGTCTGTTCTTTGTTATTTTAATGGTGCTTTGATTTTTATTATCATGCTATGTACTTAAAGATATGCATAATGTAAGCTGCCTTGGATGCCATGCTGGAATAGAAAGGCAAGCTAAAATCCCTAAATAAGTAAATAAGAATCCTTTTCATTTGTTTTTCTGGGATGCAACAGACATTGCAAGCAACAGCAGACTGTGGTATTTCAGTTAGGTTAGGCAGCTGTTAGCATTTTTGTGAGAGGAGCTTGGGAAGTTTGACAGAATCTGACACATGTTCATTGAAAAACCGATCAACATATTGGGGGCCAAGAATGATTTTATTATATTTGTTTTTGAATTTTTCAGTGTTCGTGATTGACATGGCTATCAGCTGCTCTGCTTTGCTATGTAAAGATGAGATGAGCAAGAGGTTTTTTTCCTAGAAATGTGGAAAACATAAATACTCTATAAAATAAATTTTCTTCTGTGAAAATTAAAAAATTAGCTAATGAAGATAGGGAATTTTTTTTTCCTCTTGAATGTGTCAGGGCTTACTAGCCATTTATTGGTAGTTTAGCAGTTTTGGTATTTGGCTGCAAAGCTAGAAGTTGGGAGTTCAATTCCCCACTGTGTTTCCTATAATAAGAACCAGCCTGGCTAGTCATGGGCAAGCTGCACAGTGCCAGCGTGCCCCCAGAAGAAGGGAATGGTAAACTACATCTGTGTATTCTCTTCCTCAAAAACCCTAGAAAGTATCACCATAAGTCAGAATTGACTTGATGGCACACCACACATACATAAGATTAGTCAATTAAGAAACAGCAGTGTTGGGATATTTTTCCCTTTCAAGATCTATGTTATCTGAGTTGAAATATGTGAGGATTCTAGTAGTGGGATAGAGGTGTCTGGAGCCAAAAATGCCACCTGCTGCCACAGTTTCTCTGCCCATTCTATGAGCAATGCTGGCATGATACACCTTGTACCAGCTGATCCATTTTACGGCATAATGAGAATCAATTGTTATTGGTCAACTTTCTATTGGTACCAGCAAAGAAGATTATCTTTAATTCCCTTAATTGCACAATAGAAGGACTAGTAACTTTAGGAGTTAAAAAAGTTCCAAAACACACAAACCCCAACTGTATTTAACCAGTTTAATTAATTACTCAGATGTAACTTTAGGAGTTAAAACTGAGAAGCAAGTTCCAAAACACACAAACCCCACTGCATTTAACCAGTTTAATTAATTACTCAGATGCTGCTTTTAAGACAAAAAGAAAACAGTTCTTTACTCACTGATGCTGCAAGTTGTAGGCTTGAATTTGGTTACAGAAGACTTCAGTAAAGTACAAAGGCTTTAAGGGGATTACTAGAAGAAATGAAGAAAAATATTAAAAATAATAACAACAAAAAGGGGTCCTCTCAGGCTACATGGCTAAGACAAAAATAATGGACACAAGGACAGAAAAGTCTCAAGGAGCATCCTTCCTTTTCTCTTCGGTATTCCTAATGAGTCTCTTTCTGAACAAAGGCAATAAAACAATTCTACTAATCTCTCTGAAGTCTTTGTAGTTTATTGAAGACTTTTGTAACCAAATTCAAGCCCACAATTTGCAGCGTGGTGAAGGAGGAGCTATTTTCTTTTTGTCTCAAAAGCAGTATCTGAGTAATTAATTAAGCTGGTTAAATGCAGTGGGGAGTGTTTGGGAACTTCCTACCCAATTTTAACTCTCAAAGGCAATAGTCCTTCTGTTGTGCAATTAAGGGAATCAAAGACATTCATCTGTGCTGGTACTACATAGCCCATCACTGAATAGCTCCAACAGATGTGCATCTGAATCTACAGAAAAACCTTTTCTCACGCAGCTGTCCATCAAACACCAGTGTCCTGACATTCTATGCTTCTGGCCAAGGGACTGATTTTCTGATTGTCGATGAATGGGCAAACTTGACAACCCAAACCAGCTTGTTCGTAAATTGTGCTGGTATAACATTGACTTCTGCACAAGATGAGCCATTTTCCTGGGAGTGAATCTCCTCCTGAAATCTGACACATCAGCGTTGAACACATTAGAGAGCGTTACTGTTTTTCATAATGGGTCCTTTGTTGGCAGATAGCAATAGATGCGTTATGAAGAGTTAGTTTTAATCTTCCCTGAACCAACAGTATAGGGTGGGCTGCTAAGAAAAGTTATGCGTATTCTTATATTCATTGTTCAGACTGCATTGATTACTGCTATTTCGGCTGATACATTTTTCTTCTTCCTCCATTGTCCACTAGTTCCTCCAGTCGTGGAGCCAGTTTTCCAGGATATACGGCAAGCTGTGGGACGCAGCATCACTCTTCGCTGTACCATGCTGAAGGGGAGCCCTATGAAGGTGGCCACGGCTGTCTGGCGCTTTAATGGGAGCTTGCTAACAGTGCCTCCTACAGAGCAGCAGGACTACTCTGAGTATAAAGTGGACAGTGTGAGTCGAGAGACCAGCGGCCACTACGAATGTAGCATCTCCAATGATGTGGGAGTGGCAACTTGCCTCTTCCAGGTATCTGGTAAGTTATGTAAAGAGCATCCACCGTATTATTTCTTTTATATATTTCTGTGACCAGTGTCTTGTCAGGGATTTCTCTGCGTAGAAGAACTGTTGCACGGATGGCTGTGCTGTTTGGCAAGATCATGGAAGGCATGGCTGTGCAAGCAGCCCTGTGCGCATGGAATGTTGTGGAAGCAGTTGCACTTTCTCAGAGACCCTGCCACTGCTGTTGACATAAGGTTTGCATAACTTACCTTGACTAATTGATAAGGTACTTGGGCGCATCTCAGTCACATACTTGATCACATGCCCAACCACACAACTGAGATGTACTCTGACAGCAAGTTATGCAAACCTTACACAAACCCCAGTAGAATGCTGGCCATCATACAGCTGGTCTGTGATATAGGATGGAGAAGAAAAACTCAGCAATCAGCTGATATTCTTCTTACATGTACCCAAATAGCTGCAAAAGCAGTCTGTGGCTGATTTAAATGAACAGGAAGAAAATTATCAAGGATCCAACATACCTTATGATTAAATCACCAGGGGCATGATCTTCCGTCTTGGGATTCAATTAATTTTTTAAAAAATTGACATTATGCCAGATAATAATTATTGTCCATTCTCATTTTATTTCTAAGTTTGTTACAAAACTTGACTTCAGAGTCAATAGAAGTTGAATAAACAACAATTAGTCCCCAAGGTGGCTCTCAATCTCTGGCATACACACAAAAAAGTAAGTCAATAAAAATAATAAAGAGAAGGGTTTCAGAAGTAAACATCAATATTACCATTGTACGTTAATAAATATAAGCATTGAATCATTTCTATTTAATTAGAGCAAAGAATAATGGCTGAGCTTGTAATTAGAGTGGGATGAAGGGACAAGGGTGGTATATCGGGACTGAGGAATGCCAACAGAGTATAGAAAATATCTTTGGTTCTTTCTATTTATGTGGCAACTGTAGCTTTCGATTGGGTCATTTTTGGCAAATGAAAACAAGGATAACTCATTAAGTGTACTGATGAAAATATTTCGCAACAGAGATACCATGGAATTTTGGATCTAAATGTTTAATTAACATGGACTGTTAACATCTTTCAAACTGAACATCAGTTTATTTATTTATTTACAAGATTTTTTAGCTGCACCATTACCAGTTGAGTATTTACGAAACATTATGTCTTTAGTAGGTTTGTAGATTGTTAGCTTTAATTAATTAATTAACTAATTAATTAATTTCTACCCTACCTTTCTCCTCATAGGTTTCAAAGCAACTTACAGATGTTTTTTTTAAATATTAAAATAATTACACATATACACTTCACATTATTTTTAAAAAAACCTGTTAAACATATTAATTATTCGAAGGTACAAAATAAAATCCTGCTAAGGCAAGTTAAGGTAAAGGTCAAGGTTCTCATCCATTTCCAACCCACAGAGCTAGCGTTTGTCCGAAGACAATCTTCCGTGGTCATGTGGCTAGCGGGACTAGACACGGAACGCCGTTACCTTCCCACCAAAGTGGTACCTATTTACATGCTTTCAAACTGCTAGGTTGGCAGGAGCCAGGACAAGCGACGGGAGCTCACTCCGTTGCATGGATTCGATCTTATGACTGCAGGTCTTCTGACTTTGCAGCACAGAGGCTTCTGCAGTTTAACCCTTAACCTGCAGCGCCACCACATCCCTAAGGCAAGTTAAAAACACACATTTAAAAGAGATGAAATAAGGTTTTGCCCTTTAAACTTCCTTCCTCGGCTGCAGTTTACATTTTAAAAGCCTCCTGAAAATCAAGTTTGCTAATGGAAAGACAGAAAAGAGGGGGCAGCCTGGTCTCCCGTGGAAAAGGCTCTCATAACCTGGGAACAGCCACCAAAAAGGCCCTCTCCCGTGCCCATTATCAAGCATGCCTGTGAGAGTGGTGGGGCCACTCTCTCTCAGAGTTCATTTAATTCCATTACTCAACAGTTCTAGCAAATGAAGAGTTCATCCATCGTATTCTATAGTATTCATGATTGATTCTTGCTTGCAACTAGAACACAGTGTCTCCGTTCATGTTCTTATGTTACTTCTATATCACGATTTATTCTTTTTGTTGCTGTTATTTTTTTTAAGCCTACATTTTATGAACTTGAAAATTCATCCGTGTTCCCCAGTCGACTCCTAGCCCAGCCTTATCCAATCCAGTGTCCGTGAGATTCGCTGGACGAACACTTTAATCTTCCCTTGCCAGCCCAGCAATTAGCTATCTTGGCCGAGGATGGTGGGTTGTTGGGATGCTGCAGTGTATCAATGCCCGCTGTTCAGTCGCTCCCACTTGACTATCCTTGCAAGCAGGAGCAGCTAAACAAACTGCAGAGCTGCCATGTGTGGCTTGCTTATCATGAAGTGCAAACCGGGAACTCTGGCTTAGGGTTTATGACAGGCCAGTCTAGGGAAGGACAATCCAGACTTACCAGCTGCACACCAACAAAGTTCAGATAGAAATTCTGCAGTTTGTTTAGCTTTTTCTATTTGCAGGAGGAAACAAGCGGGTGACATGGAACGGCATGTAACAACACACTGGCTTATTAACAATGATACAGACTCTACAGAAATCTGGCTTATTATGGTGTACAAGCATGGCTTTTGGCTTCTAGTATAAATCTTTTGTCATATTTTGTTCTATCCTGAATATAAAGATATATCCAAAGTACATCCTAGTGATTTATAACAAAATAATTTGAACTTTTTAGTCAGTGTAAATGACACAGAAACAGAAAAACATTTATGTCTTTCTTACCACACTAGAAGAGGGGTGGGCAATTTGTGGCCTTCCATGTTGGCTACAACTGATGGGAGTTGTGGTCCAACAGAACCACAAGTTGCTTATCCTGTGAACTATGGGAGTTGTGGTCCAACAGAACCACAAGTTGCTTATCCCGTGAACTAAGAGGTTTTGTGTGTGTGTGTGTGTGTTTTCGGGGGTTTTTTTGCCAGGTGCACCATAAATCAGGTCAAAATAACAATCTAACTCTTGTGCATTCTGTGTCAAGTGCTTTGGGGGTGAATTTGTTATGTTACAAAGGAAAATGTTAACTATAACTTTAATGCCCCAAGAAAAACCAGTGTCTTATGACAAGTTCAGTATCATTTTTGTGCATCTTAGTCAGTATTACAGTTAGGAGAGAAATCAACGGAGGTTCTGTTTTAGGTCTAGTTCCATTCCTATTCCTAGAGGTTCAGGTTTGGTGCTGCTTTTTTAGGGTTGCTGGATTTCTGTGATGAGCCCCCAGATATTCAGGAAACAGAAATGAAGGGGACAACATGTTTTAGAAATAGTTAACAGGTAAGTAAACAGATACTCAGTACGATGCGTGTCATGTGACCTTTGCACTTCAAAGCAGTTGGTGAGTTGGGGGCATGGATTTTGTAATAGGTGTTTTCCCCATTTTTCTCTCCTTTCTTTCCCATTTCCCTTTCCACTTCTCAGCTAAAGCTTACAACCCAGAGTTTTACTACGATACCCCTAATCCTACTCGGAAGCAATCCAAGAACTACTCCTATATCTTGCAGTGGACACAGAAGGAGCCTGATGCTGTTGATCCCATCCTTAGTTACCGACTAGATGTTCGTCAGGTAAGACCAAGGACTAACCCCATCATCTTAAGCACCAAACTTCAGCTATTGGAGAATGAGAGTGTAATGTTAAACCTGGAGTGTTTACATTTAGTACAGAGGGAGATCACATCTACTTCCCTTTGGAAAACCTGAGTTGTGATTTGCAAGACAGGCAAGAACTGAGGGCATGGCCCTTCTTCTCCCTTTTTACAGAGCTGAGGAGCTTGTTGTATGATTCAGCCTTCATTTTAAAGTCTAATGTTGTAACGGATTGAGAGCAGAGAAAGCTTACTGGCTCCCCTTGGAATTTTTATGTCCAGCCTTCTGAACAAAGCTGCCTGAGGAACAAAACCTTGTAGTCATTAGTGGCTATTGTTGATTTTAGAGGCCAGCAATTCAAATGAATGGAATTTCAGATGCTTCATTTTTTAAATAAGGACTGTAAATTGGAGAATTCTTCTGGCTGGAGCAGCAGTAAAAAGTTATAAGCTGTTCATGTTGTAGAGATATTATTTCATCAAATTGTCATAATGCCGGAATTTTATGAAACTGTGCTGGGGAAAGGTAAGAACCCTTGGCATTGAAAGAGACTCATAAGAGACTTATAAGGGAGGAGGGACAAAGTACTAGATGTAATATGTAATGGATAGCTATATTCTGCCATTTATGGGTAGAGATGTGTTAGTTAGGCATCCTTCAGTCTCGAAAGACTATGGTAGCGTGCTCTGTATGGAGGGCTTGGAACAGCGCCTAGTGTGGCTGAGGAGGCCAATTTGAGAGTGACAGTCCCTTCCACACTGAAGACAAATCCAGTCTGTCCCCTGTCCGGCTCCCTGGTTTTGCTGCTTTTGTGACTTCCTCTTTGCCTCGGCCTGCTGGACAAGGGTCTCTTCAAATTGGGAGAGGCCGTGATGCACCGCCTGCCTCCAGGCTGAACGCTCAGATGTCAGGTTTTCCCATCTGTTGAGGTCTAATCCTAAGGCCTTCAGATCTCGCTTGCAGATGTCCTTATTATTATTATTAAAGATGTGTACATGTGGACAATTACGCACATGTGTGTGTTTTCTGAGCAAATAATTAGAAATAGGATCAGGTACCCTGAGTGTCTCAGCTTTAAGACCTACCATTTCAGTTGGATTTAAGCTAACAGTTGCTCACCATAAAATCCACTTAAATTAGTTTGGATGAAATCCGTAGAAATTAGGGTTAACTGGCTTGTACAGTGGCTTTGTGTATTATTTTGCAAATAAAATTTTGTATTTTCTAGGGATTTCACCCAAACTAATTTTGTATTTGCAACCAAAGGCATAGTGGTCATCCCTTCTGGCTAATTGGAAAGTAAAAAGATTTTTCCAGAAGACATGAGCCGTATCCCCTTTCCTTATATTGTTAAAAAAATGCATTTTCTTTTTACTCCACCACCCTTCTTTATTTCACAGTTATCCTTTAGAGGCAAATATGAAGCAATTGTTATGAAGAAACTGTTATGAGGATAAAGATCCTGGGTTGTACTCAGTGCTGCCTTCTATTCATAGAAGCCTGTTTGATTCAACAGAGGCTTCAATAAATGGGAGGGAGAGGAAGATCTTTTTTTAAATAGCTAAGTCTTCCTTCCTACTGGACTAGGGTAAGAGATGGCATAGGGTGTGGCAGGAAAAAGAGGAAATTTGCCAGTAATAATACTAATACTAATAATACTAATAAAACTACTACTACTACTACTACTAATAAGAATAAGAATAAGAATAAGAATAAGAATAAGAATAA